GGAGATTTCTCCGGATGACTGTCTTCACTAAGCGTTCGCTCAGCAGCCGGCGGCAGCAGCGCAGCAGCTGGAGTCGTTGGATATTGTGAAGTCGGTGGTGTTGTGGTGGGGGAAGGGGAGAAGTCTGGTTGTGAATGTGGTGCTGGGGAAACTGCTGGTGATGTGGGTGTTGGCGAGGGGGAAGGTGCTTGCCTTGGTGGTGCAGGTGGTAGTGGTGTGGAGAAAAGTTGCTGGTCTTGCTGTCGTTGCATGTCTTTGAGTTCTTGCCATCGGGCTTGGCATTGCGCAACGGAGAAACCCACTCGGCGGGCCACAGTAGTCCAGTTGGGACGAAGTTTTGGGTTTTCTTTGAGTTCGACAAGGCGACAATCAGCGTCGCCGTCCCAAGCGTCCCAATCGGCGTGTTGGTTCAGTGGTGGTGGGGGTGGTTGCTTCCGCTTGCGTGTTGTGGTGGGTTGTGGAACAGGGGGTGTTGTTGGAGTGTCGTCTGAGTCCTGTAAGGGTGGTGCTGGTAAACGGATGGGTGGTCTGGATGGTGCTGAGTCACAGGATGAGGTGGTGGATGGTAAACGTATGGGGTGATTGGGTGGAGTTGGAAGTGGCTGAAAGTGTTGGCGGAAAGTGGGGTCTGCTTGGTGGCTGTGGTGGAGGAAAACCGTGTGGAGGTGTGCTACAATATCTGTTGCTTGTCGAAGCAGGTTGTGCACCTGGGAAAGTGCCACTGCGGTTTTGTGTAGGAGAGTTGAGGTGTCGTTTTGTAGAGGTGTCAGCGTGCTGCTCATGGGGCTGAGATGTAGGGGTGTGCAGTAGTCAAGAATCGTCACAGGTTGCTGCGGCAGCGCGCCAAAGCAGCCGGAAAGCGGCGAGTCTGAGGAAGCACATCATGCCGAGGCCATGCATATGAATTAAGCGAGCATCAAATTCCCACAGGCAAAAATGCGAGTACGCAATGCTGATTGGACAATTGAGTACATGACTTGAAGAATCACTCTCCACGATGCAGAAACTGACATGTGAAAGACTCCTTCAAAACAGCCGATACAATTCAAAAGATTCTCAGCAAACACTACGGAGCTAGAAAAATGGAGGGTTCAAAATGCCCGTGGCTGCTGCAAGAGGCTCTTTTTTGCTGCTACAGCAAAGGTTGGGTGGTGGTGTGAGACCAAAAGTGGATGTGGAGGTGGTAGTGGTGTGTGGATGTGTGGTAGTGGCGTTATGGGTCCGGTGGAGTGGAGTTGGTGGACCAGGCCAGTCCTTTGACAATGGCGTGGTCCGGGTGGATCACCCAGCAGCGGCCCTTCTGATGAAAGACCGCACCATGGTGGTCGTTAAGGAGGTTCATGGCGTGTTCCTCACCTCCAGAGGTATACTTTGTGGCAGCACCCCAAGCAAGGAGTGTGATGATAAGGGAATGGGAATTCTTGTGGAGTTGCCAGGTGTTGTGGATGATGCGAGCAAGCTCGTTGTGGTCATGGGGTTGGTTGTGGGTGATGCGAACGCCCTGGGCAAAAAATCCAGGGTAGTTGGCAAAGTGGAGTGTGCTGGGTAAAAAACGGCCTTGGCGTAGAATGTTGGAAATGTTACCGACGGGGCCTGTGTGGCCTGCGTTGATGTGGGCGACTTCCCGGTGGGTTGATGTGGCGCGGGAAACCGCAGGTGGCTCGGGTGTAGTGGCTTTGGTGTTGAGGAAGGGAAGTGAAATGGCATAGTACTGGAATTGGTCGTATTGGTGAGTTGTATCATTCCACTTAGCGTGGGTATATTGTCGGAAATCGGTGATCTCCTTGTAGGTGATGTTGCAGTCTGTGAGGATATTGGCAATGTACTGGTGTTGTGGTCGGTTGGGATTGTCGAATTGGGTGGCGTGGAATTCGAGCCATTCCAGGATTTGGTCTGCAGGTGTGAAGGTGTGAAAGTTGGGTGGAGGTCGCCAACGGTTGATTGGGCGACGAATGACGGCTGTGGTGGGATATTGAGAGGGATCAGGGTTGGTGTGTTCGGTGTTTGGGCGTAGATCAATGGGTTGTGGTGGGGACCGACTGCGGGATGGTGTGAGGCTAGATGTGTAGGTGGATGTTGAAGGCGACCGTCGTCGCCGGGTTGTGCTGTGGTGTTTGGAATGGCGGTGGTGGCGATGTCGGCGGCGGTGGCGGTGGCGTCCTCTGTGGTGATGGTCGGACTTGCGTCGGCTCTTGTGATGGTGGCGGCGACTGCTGTGTGGTGGTTGTGGGGAAGGTGGTTGTGGTGCTGGTGAGGCAGTGGTGTCAGGTTTGTCTGGTGCTGGTAGTGAAGGTCCAGGTGCTGGTGTGGCAGATACCAGCGATGGGGATGCTGAGTGTTGGGATACGGCAGCTGGTGGAGGTGTGTTTTGGACTGGTAGTGGATTGTCCTGGGCAGTCGTGGGGATGGGTTGGATCGGTGGTGTTGGATCCGATGGTAGCGGCTGTTGAAGTGGAGGTTGGGTTGGCGTTGAGGCGTTGATGATTTGTGGAGGCGGTGGCGGGGGCCCCGGTTGGAGTGGAGGCTGTGTGACGGGGGGAAAAGCTGAATAGGGTTGCCAAACGCCCTGGGGGATGGCGCATTGGGGATCTGTGGATGGATAACTGGCAATCGCAGTCTGTTGCTGTGTTGGAGGAGGATGTGTCAGTGTAGTGGGGGGGGGAAGTTCCGCTGGTGGTGTGGGATGAGGTGGTGGCAGCAGGTAGGACGGGGGAGGTGCTGCTGTCGGAAACACTGGAGCTGGATGTGTGGGTTGCGGTGGCACGTGATATGGGGGGACAAAAGTCCAAGTGGGTGGTGTGCCGTAGGTCAGTGCAGTGGCGGTAGGGGTGGATAAAAACGGTGGTGGTTGAAATGGTTGTGGTTGGGGGTGAGGGTATGCCGATGGTTGTCGAGGGAAAGGTGGGTGCAGTTGATGGTTGTGGCATCGGCCATGTGGGTTGAGGTTGTGTGGTAGGTAGTGGTGGTGGCGTGGTGTGAGCGTAGGGCCACGGAAAACGCATGTCGTGGTCGTAGCTATGGCTCGGCGCGGCGCGGCAGCAAAAAGCAGCGGAGAATTGCCGAGTTGTATTGTCTTGTTGTTGTTGAAGGTGCCATCTCTGGTGTCGGTGGTGAGTATGTTGTAAGGTGGTGCTAAATGTAAGCTTGTTGGTAGGTGTGTGTTCATGCATCTCGAATTAAGCTGAAGAGTTGTAATGCCCTTCCTTGAGTGCTGTCGATGAAAGAGTCGCGGCAGCAACATAACGAACACAGAAACGCGCACATGACTGGAAACCATGAAAAGAAAGCTGAATGCCGAAATCTGAAATCAGAAGTTCTGAATCTGAGGGATTTTTCAAGAACCGTTTTTTGGCCCGGCGGCCGGTGTGGCGGTTGATTCTGTGAGGGTGTCGGTGCCTTCCTGTGAAGTTCCAGTGAGCGGTGGTGCGTTGGGGTGGTTGCTTTCCCATGCAGGAACGGCGCCCCTGTGACGGGGATCACACTCAGCACCCGAGTGGGACGGCTGAGCAGGACACACTTCGAACTTGGGTTTTCAGTTAACGCAATTGTCTCAATGGGAAAGAAGGCGATGGAACGGCATGGTGAAAAGTCCGAAAGACTTGTAGGTGTTTCAACAAGTTGTTGGTCAAGTCTGCTGAACGATCGGTCGGCGCGGCCCAGCTGCAAGACAAACGCGGCAAAGGGAAGGTTTTGGGGGAGTATCATGAAGAACCATGAAACAAATCTTGGAAAAGTAGGGTGACAGCTTGTGGAAAAAAACCTCGGCAGGTACACAATGCGGCGTCCCGCATTGCTTCACCACGAGCTGACAGCGTCTTCGTTGGGCAATGTCTGTCAGTCGTGCATTGCCCCCCTGCCTGTGTAAAATGGGAAGAGTGGTGGGGTAAGACCCTTTGTCCAGGGTGGGACACACACACACACACCTCACGTACACACAGAGACCCTCACGCCTTATATCTGTTTCGCCTGTCTCTTCCCCACGCTCACTCTTCCACACTTTACCCCTGCAGCCTCAATCTGTCGAAGTTGTTCACATGTGGGGTTATCCGGTCCTATAATTGTGCTTTTTGTGCTTCTTGTAACCTTGTAGCACTGGCCTCCAACTTGGCACCCTGGCCCCCACCCACTAGCAAGGACCTCCAACCTTGGCTGTCTTGTGTTTCTTGTGCTTCTTGTGCTTTCTGCAACCTGGTAGCACTGGCCTCCAACTTGGTACCCTGGCCTCCAACCTACTAGCGATGACCTCCAACTTTGTTCTTGCTGTCACTTTGTGTCTATGGTCCACCGCCTACTAGCGATGGCCTCCAACCTTAGGTCTTGGCCCCCAACAGCCTTGCGATGGCCTCCAACCCAAAACCGATGGCCTTTAACCTACATTTTCCTGCCACCTCAAGCCTTTTAAAAACTTAGGCTGGCGTGTGGCACCGCTGTCAAATCAGTACGCATATCCATAAGTGTGTGCCCCTTGTAGTCACAGGGATTCTTTTGAGTTGTACACTGAGCTTTCTTCATTTAGAGCAGGGGGTAGCGGCAGATCACTTGGGACCGCTACCAACGAAGACGCCCATCTGATCTGGTGAAATCAGAGTTGGCCACTCTGACGTACCTGCTTGAATTTTAACCTTTGCTGAGTTGAGCTTGACACTCCGCAGACTTGCACGCTACGTCGTCACCCTATCGTTTCGACTTCGACTTGCGAGTTTGGCCCCTTCTCCATTTGAGGACCCCGAGGCTCCAGTGGTTTCCTACTTGTACTCTTAGGAAATGGTACCCTAGGCCGGCGTGTGGCGCCGCTTTCAGTTCCGTACACCCTATCCTAAGTGTGTGGAGATCTTCACCCAAAGCAAAAAAGGCAGCAAACATCAGCGAAACATGTCTTGCATGTCTAAAATTGTCGAAAGCCTTTTGAGCCCAGAATTGTCCTTTTCCTTCTGAGGTCCTTATTTTTGCCTTTGCTGAAGTCAAAGTATTGGCCAAGATTTCCATTTGAGGCAAGTGTCTGGCCGCGATTGTCTCTTTGGAACAGGACACGATGGCCGAACATGCCTTAGCACTTTAGCACTTAGAGTCTGCAGTCCAGCCTTGACTCCTCCCATCTGAATCAAAGAACCAGAAGAAACGTCTGGTCAAGAGAGGTGTTGACTGCCAGCTCCCACCAGGTCTCATGTCGTGGGTAAAGAAGCTCTCATGTCTTGGGTGATTTGGTATGGGTTTAACCCAACCCTAGACCATGCTTATGCGCAAACGGGAAACCTCGATCAACAGCATCCACTTGGTGCTTGGACCTCCTGTCACCATTGATGTGGGGTCACTAGGCTGCCACGTGTGCCATCCAAGCGTCATGTTTTAGAAAGTCCCAGTTCTGTTGAGCCTCCAGGAAAGAGTCAAGTGCGGGAACAATGCAAGTGGTGCTTATGATGCGGAGGGGCTTACATGTGGGTCGTGTATACGTCATTCCCGGGAATGAGGTGAAAGCAACTGACATTGATGGCTCTGTGCACATGTGTCCAGGTACATCAAAGGAAAAGCGCACATATCCGTTTCCAATAGCTGTTACAGAAAGAGAAACAAAATCTACATGTTGCTTGAATTTGTGCTTGCTCTGTCATCCTTCCCATTGGGGGAACAAAGGTAAAATGCTGTACAGTATGGTTCTATTTTAGGCGTGCCACTTTACATTGGACCTGCTTTCCATACAGCTGTCAAATGAATCTGAAACTTCAGAACTGTGCTGTGCAAACGGACCGAAAAAAACTCAAACAAAGACGCCAAGACCGTTCAATCTTTCGGCGATCTTTCAGCCTTTCTGCTCGACAAGTAAACAGGTTTACTCCTGAACTCCTGAACTCCTCACCTTGGCCCTTGCGTTTTGTTTCTTTCGGTCTTCCGGTGAGGACACCTGAGCCGGCCATGCCATGGCTACGAGGATAGAAACAGCTTTGATCTTCGATAGCCAAAACTCAAAACAATTACACACCCACAGTCATCTCATGCATCCACTATGTCCAGTACAACAAGAGGCGACAAAAAGGGTAAGGGCTCCTTTAACAAGGCCTATCAAAGGGGCCCTTACCCTTTTTCGCGACTCTCTCTGTGCTGGATGCATGAGATGACTGTGGATGTGTATTGGTCCGTAATTCCATCCGCACGAGAGCACTAAATGTCCTACTGGTTCTGGCTTTTTCCAAGTGTTACCTGAAGGGCACGTCCAAAGACCAGTTCACCACCCACAGAAACTCTATAGTGGCGGACTACCACTTAGAATTGACAAATTTTCTAGGGATGCACTTTCAATTAGATTTTTCTCTACAGATAGAATGCAATTGGCGCTTTTTAGTAGTTAGAATTGTTTTTCAAGGATTATGCACTTAGAATTAGTAAATTATGCAACTAGAAATGACATTCCATTGATCCAACATACATGCAACCCATGCATTTTACCAGCAAACAAAACGACCAACAAAAACGCTGCCTTTCCTTTTTCCCGGTCGAAACGATGAATTCCAGATGCATTTGGAACTGATTGGCTATTTTGAAGGGCAGGCTAATCCTAAACATTAAAAATAATTCTAACTGCATTCAAAATTATGTGTTCAAACATATGCTCAAAGGAACAAACTGGTCGCCTATAATATACCATCCATCTAGAAACCAATCTACACTTTGTTGTGAACACCCGTCCTCCAGTTGTGAATGTAGCTCGGACAAATTCATTGCAACTAGAAACGCTCCGGCCAAAAAAAGCGCAAACCTTAAATAGAAAATTGTTGCTGTTTGAGAAAGCCAAGCATCACTTGCTTGCATTGATGGGGTTCTGCCCTTATCTTTACACTCTGCCCTTCCTACTCTTCCCTCAAGCACCGCAAGCTGCGAGTCATTGGACGCTCTCATGTTTTGGCAAACTCGGGTAATCGTGCAATCATGTGACAATGTTAATTCTATGTTTGTTAATTCTATGTGGATGTTTTAATTCTATGTGCGACGTTTTTTCTCTTCAGACAATTCTAACTGCTTTTTCAGTTTTCTAGCAAGTCCTAGGTTGCTAGCTTTTTTGTCCTCACTAAAAATTCTAACTGCTAGTCTACCACTATACGTATTGGAAAGTCCCACTGTCATGTTGCTTTGACAAATTTGATGCAGGCTTCTGCTGATGAGATCGATGTGCCTTACTGATGTGTTTCTTGCAAAACGACGCATGCAATATCACTGTCTTTGCAGCAGCAATGCTGCCCTCACTGCAGAAAGCAAGATGGGCAAAGCTATGAACATGCCCCAGTCTTTTCTTTCATTCTTTAACACAGGCCTGGCAGCCACGGATACTATCAGATACTATTGCAGTATCTGAGCAATAATGCGTTGCCACAACACTGCCAATGTGGTGCAGCCTTCCTGATGAAAGGAAGAGAAATGCAACCCAGCAACTGCAGCCACAGCCGCTCGGATGTTCTTAAGCTTCTGGCGTGCCTCAGGGAGCGTTTGGACCTTGCTGATTGCTGTTAGTTGTTGGTTGCCAAACGAGGTGATATTATATCACCCGCCGCTATCATTTTGTCCTGTTTGCCGCCTCAAGGATCTTGAGCACCTATATTTTCAAGCTGTAGTAAGCAAACCAAGGCTATAAGGCTACAGGTTTGCCTCTTCACCGCAAACAAAAGTGGAGGCCCGCCTCACTAAAAATGCGCCTCTTTGCAATCACATCGCTCATGCCTTCTACACCAAAAGCAAATGTAGTGTGGCACTGCTCATCATCACCGCGTGAGGTGAAGATAATCAACCATTAACCATTTCTGACAAATTATCAATGCCGTTGCTGTTCCAACAGGAGTTGGGAAGAATTGGAAAGGAATTAGGGACCACCACCTAAGAAGTGCCAGACGTTTATTCAACATCATTAGCCTGCTCAGTGTCCTATGAAGCGGTTGAAATGTTGATGGCAAATTATTGTATGTTCCAAAGAAATACAGCTGGAACCAGGACAGTTGCGAAAGCAGGGATTAGAATTCAACAAGCAGGAATCACCCACCGTTTGTCAGCTGTAAATTCGGTTTGCGGTTTGTTGATCTTCAGCACAACGGGAAGTTGCTAAGGCCTTGACAAAAGGCAGAACAGTAGACTTTTGCACTTGGATGAGTGCAAACTGCTTTTTCGGCCTGCGGCAAGATGATCTGCGTCAGGCAGTGCCCACCAGCAAGCCAGTGCGGGATGTGATGGGAGCCAGTCTCCCCCAGTCAACAACGCTGCTCATCAACATCCTCGTCCTTCTCACCCATGTCATGTCCCACCTTTATAACCGATCCCTGATTGCCTGGACGTGGATTGAGAAAGCCTTGCAAACAATGGGCCTCTTTGAAGACACGGTTATCATTCAGACTGGACCCAATCACACCCTCGCCTACTTCGACGAGTTGCGTGTTCAGCAACTGAGCTTTGTGGCAGGTGACAAAGGTCTGGGACCTTTCATCCTCAAAAGAGGGCTATAAACTTTGGGCATATCACTCTTGGGAAGGAAGCAGGCTTTCCTGACACATCCCAAGATGTTCTGGAACCTTGCACATCAAGCACAGAACCACATACTGTGATGGTCAATCACAGTCTGGTTAGCTGGCAACTGTCGTATAAAAGCAAAGACTACTAAAAGGCGTTACTGAGCTCCGTTGTTGGGAAGCAGTGGCCTCCGCGTTCCATTGGCCAGGAAAGCAGGCGCTTCAATTCACTTCGCCAGCTTGGCTTCAGCCAGCGTCTATCAGCCCCATCAAATCAGCTCCACATTCTGGCATGGCTGAGGGTGAGTGACGGATGCCCAAGGTAGGTCCATATGAAAATTATGCATGCGGTCAAAGCAGAAACAGTAATTATGCTAATCTAAATCAATCTCAGTTCCTCAGCTTGAAACAGACACACAAGGCTTCAACCTCAAAAAGCAAGTCAAAAGAATACTCTGACATGGGCATAGGCCCAAGATAGAGCAATTCTTTGAAAGGTCTTGAAACCTGCTGTGGGACTGTGTTATCTGTTGCACAGCTATGGCATACACATTTCCACTTAGTTTTTAACACACAGCAGAACATCAAAACAGCCCACAATTATATATACACAGTATATCTATGTCTTGATATGAGTGATTTGACGCGATGGTCGCAGAGCAGCGTGTCATCATACCACCACGTTAGAATGTCAGCACACCACCGTGCCAAAGCCACCATGCAGTGATGAGACCACACCAACATGCCACCACTGCCACCACCCAAATATGATGGGAGAGACAAGCTGGGGACAAGCTTCGAGACAGCCACCGTGGCAACCACAGTCACAAGCCCAAGTTTGAGAGTTTCCTGCCATAGACTCCTGATTCGAAGTAAGAATCCGAGAAGTAAGAAGTCTCTACAGTTTGCAGCTATTTGGAGAAAAGAAACTATAAACCAACATGATCAACATGCTCAAACCAACACACAATGTTCCCAGTGGCAGAAACATCTCCGAGCCTTCGCTTGGGGTTGGCTCCTCTCATTGAGGAAAGCCGTGAAGCTCACGTTGGAGCCAGCCTTTCCATGTGTTTTTGGGTTTGCTCCTCTGCTTCTTCGTATTCACAAGTCCATGTTGATAGTTTCATGATGCTACTTCCTTCAGCGTTGGCTTGTTTGGAGCAGGCAAACTGACATCGACATTAGTCCCCACGTCTGAGTCGTCGTTTCAGGTGTCAAGCAAAGACTACGGCTGAAGGCTTTGAAAGGACAACAAGTCATCCTCTTCCCCTGCCTGCGCAGTCGCTGGCGTGTGCGCTTGGCTCAAAAAAACATCCTGCGTGTAGCCGTGCGCTTGCAGCTCCTGGGATGTAAACAACGGTAGGCGACGAGTCGAGGGGCCACTCGCCAAGCTTCTCTCATCCGCTACAAATGCGAGTTTCCGAGAAATGCCCTCCAACATCCAAACAGGAGCCTGGGCCTAAGGACTTCTCAGAAGTTTGCCGAATGCACAGTGGATGGTGCAATGGACCCATCAAAGAACTGTTGATCTCACTCTCCCTGTTCCAAATGACACTTATATAACGGAGACAAGAAGCTCTTTGTTCTTTCATTCCCACCCTCCCTCCAAGGAAGACAGGTGCTCACGCCCTTTTGGTTGGATGCTTTTCCCAAGGTTTTGTCTTTTCACCTTGGGTCTTGTTCATCAACAAGGTCAGCTGTCCATTTTCAGCTTGCCACCTCGACCTCATTGGCATCGCCGCAAGCTTTCCGTAAGCACTTCTTGCATTTTCTCTGGCTCAAAGTGAGCTGTGATTGTAGGGCTACCTTCGAGGAGTTCCTGCTAAAGGGCCAGCCGCACACCGAAGTCCAGGTTTCTATAGGGACATTCCAGCTTGCTCCTTCCACTTGATGCCAGACTCTCTCCCTGGAGCTGTATGCCGTTGAAGCCACCCACAGCTTTTTGGGTAGCTGTGACACCACCAGCTCTTCGCCTGGACTTTTGTTCATCTCTTCCATGGGCAGGTCCTTGACGAGGTCCACGACGGGGGTTTCGTCCAAGTTCACCTCCTCCTTCTTGGTTTTCTGCGTCCTTCTGTCGCTGATGCTTTTGTTTGCAGGCTCTGACTGTGGGGCGTCCTCTGCATACGACAGCACCACAAAAGACTTCCACCTTCCCAAGAAGGCCAACTCTTGGATGGGCATCCCCAATCTGACGTAGTTCATTGCACCTGATCTGCGGGCCGAGTGTCCTTGAACTTGATCGCACGTCGTCAAAGCCCATCCCTCCACCATCCTAGTTTTGGACAGTTTTCTGCCCTCAATGTCCTGGAAGATGAACTCCTGTGGGTTTCTCTCCTGCCCTCGATAGGCCTTCCAGATCTCATTCCACACTCTCCAGCAACACCACCGAGGGCAGGGCTTGCCCATGCAGCACTGCAGTGTACGTCTCACGCCCAAGCCCTGTTGGTCGCACTTCGAGAGGGGGATGAAGATGGTTATTCTTTTGTTCTGCTCGTTCACTTTCACATCCTTCCACTTCATCGCACCCACCTCAATTTCCCTCAACATCCAGATCACTGCCCAGGCGTAGGCCAGTGCCGGTCTCAACGTTCTTCTGGGGCCTTTGCAGCACATCATCCACTTCAGCTGTTCGATGTCATTGAGGTTCACTTCGGGTGCCCGTCTCACTGGACCTATCTTTTGCAGTCCACCAGCAGCTTATTCATCTGCAGGGTCACTTCAAAGCCGGCTTCCACATGCATCAGCTTGAGTTCGTTCAGGTATTGATCACCCGAAGACCAGCCGCCCGCCTTGATAGCCGCCGCCACGTCCTCTATCGTGCTCAACTGCAGTGGAAAGATCTGTCGTCCCTGACCCAAACTGGCTCTCGCCATAGCCAAGACCTGCTCGCGCTTGGTCTTTTGTGCCGCTTTGGATGACTTGGCCAAGAAGTCACCTCTCAGCAGCCCCTGTCCCTTGCCCTCAAGCCGAGAATGGTGCTTCTTTTCATCACCATCCCTTCACAGCAGCTCGAAGGCTCCGGACACTTGGCTGGCCGCCCCCACAAAAAGTGGGGCCACACCCGGTGGATTCAGGTAGGCTCGGTGCATCATATTCCTTGGGAAAGTCTTGATGGGCGCCTTTTCCAGCCGCTCTGGCTTCGTAGCGCTGCGATCGTGTGGGCGAGACAGCCAGTCCGCTTCCACGTTCCAGTTTCCCGGAATGTGCTGGGCCACGATCCTTCGGACGTTGCGCTTGTCGCATCTGATCGCAAGCTCAGCCCCTACCCAATTCACCACGGGTGAAGGCGAAGATAACCGCTTCGTCATCGCAAGGGCCACGACGCTGTCACTCCTCAACACCACACTCTTGCCCTCCAACTTTGCTCCCCACCGTTTGAAAGCCAGTTTGACCGCCCATGCTTCAAGCGGGCCTTGAGACGCTGATTCCTTCCATGGCACTCCCAGCCATTTGGCGTCCTCCTCCAACACCGGAATCTCCAGGGCCTCTAAGATCGTGAAGCCACTGTTGCCAAAATGGCTCCGATATCTTGGGGGGACGCGTCCGTCACAATGGCGTAGTCTGGCAGCAACTCTTCCATCGGTTCCGAGCGCAAAGCTAGTGCCTCCGGATCCTTGAACAACGTCACAAACCAACGCCTGGGCAGCTCCAATCGTTTCACGGATACCAATCCAAACTTGGGCCTCTGGTCCGCTCTCTTGGATGCTCTCTTGCGTTCCTGATCTTCGTCCCGCTTGGTGTCAGCTATCACGGCATACATAATGCTGACTGCCCAGCGCGTTCTGGGAAGGATCCCGGCCACCCATGAAAGGCGTCCCGTCACTTGCTGCACCTCCTTCAGGCTGACCATCCCCTTGTTCTCCCAGGCCTCAAGCGCACTCTTGATCTCCATCATCATCTTCTTGGGCACGGTCAAGTTGATCTGCGCTTCCGTGGCCTTCACCTCAAACATGGCTCCAATCCATGTGAGCTGGCTTCCCCGGGATCCCTTGTGCCACGCAAGGTATATTCCCAGGGCTCTTGCAGTGTAGAGCAAGAGGGCGAGGTTTCTGTTTCTCCTAGATGAGGGCCCCCGCAAAATCCACATAGGATCGTCCATATACAGCTGACTCTGCATCTCAGAGGGAGCTATGAGGGATTGCCACAACCTCGCCAGGCACGCAGCAAACCTCCCCATTAAAAAAGAGGTGCCCCACGGAAGCCGAACAGCATAGCCACCCGCATTAGCGTTTCTGTTTGATGGAGTCCTGGGCTCAAGCAGTTGGCATGCTCCTCCGGATGCACCGGCAGATGGCAGTAGGCGTCGCTCAGGTCCGCCGTGATCATCTCGAAGTCGTAGATGCCCCCATCCGGCCTGTCCTCGTCCAGGATCCATTCTTCATCCCTCGCTTTGATCGCCATGCGGTCCCTGCTCTTCCACAGGTACCTGAAGCTGTCCACCACGTCTACCACTCTCGGCAGCACTATCCTCTCGATTATTCGTCTCTTCACACTCCCGTCGTCCTTCTCCTTGACCAGCAACGCTAGCTTGGACACCGTGCCGTGCTTGTGCATGGAGTTGGCCTTGTTCGTCGGGAGGACCACCGCAAAGCCCTCTTCCACTAGCCTCGAGAGCTCCGTCCTCGCGTGCTCTGGCTCATCCGTGAAGCTCTTGTAGTGTGACAACCCCAGCTGTTCTGCTAACTCCGGGGCCTCTTCCATCTCCTGCTCCGGGTCATCAGCCTTTGGGAATATCCCACAACATGGTATCTCCCTGTTCATACCGAGTGGCACTCCCCTCCTGATCCAATCCACCTAGTGTACCTCTGGATCCAAGGAGGCCTTGAGCCATAGCTCCGGGTCCAATGGGGACTCGAACTCATACTTGTCCCTCAGCGCGATGTCCGTGAAGGTCCTCGTCTGAAAGAACTGCTTGAGGCATCCTTTCCATGCCATTTCCACCTCCATGCTCGGCCGATTGCCCTCCGCGCCATAGTTCTTGGCCACGTCCAACGCCTCCGGGTAGTCCAACAAGAACCTGTCCCAAATCCTGGACACGTCCATGCCTACCTGTCTCACCTTCGACAGCTTCTCCACCGCTCTACCCGGATTCCTCCTGCCCCCAATGTGGCGTTCATTTTCTTCCTCTCTCCTGGCCTTCTTTGATGTTCCCATCACCGGCCTGATGTCTTGGGTCGATTGGGTCAACTCCCAAACCCGTTTTGATGGATCTGCCGTCGGTCGTCCTTCAGGAGGTCCCTGATATATGCGTTCTTTGCTCGCGATCCACTTCTTCTTGAGCGCGGATACATCCTGCTCCTTGGTCTTGAGCATGTGCCTCCAGTACTCCAGCTGCATGGTGTGCTTGAATGCCGTGATGATCAACTTGGAGTACTCCTCACACAACTGTTTGGGATATTGGGCAGCTGCAGCCGTTCGCCTGCTGCCAACCAAAGGTTCGTGTCGAATCCACTGGCCGCACGCGCAGGCTTTCTTCAACTTCTCGAGGTCAAGCAAGCGGCCTGCAAAGCGTCCGGGTTTGTACCACCTGACACGTTCTCCCCCCTGAAATGAACACGTGTTGTAGTCAGCAACCTGGCCCTCAAACGCATCCATGAATGCTTCAGGTCCTTCTTCACGCGTCTCTGTTCCAGGGGGGTTTTCAAAAGTTCCAGCCTGCGGTACCTTTCTCAACCTCTGGCTCTTCAAGATGGCCCCGATGACCTCGACCGATCTCGTCGCCAGCAGCGTTCCCGTGTCTGCCAACTGTTGCTCCTCCACCGAGTTTGATGGCAGTCCATAAATGTGCTGCAGCGACCTAACAGGTGGAGGTCCCCTGTGGTCCATGTTCCACCGAGCTCGACTAAAGGTGTTACAAGGAAACCCTGCATGAGCTTCCGCCTCTACTGGAGCTCCAGGAAGGGGTGATCCTTCGCAAGGTCCACGTCGCCCTCCCCCTTCTTGTCCAGGCTGTAGACCTCCACCTGGATGCCTTCCCTGCTGGCCATGTCCTTCAGACAGTCCCCAACACGTCGACCTCCCCACTGAACATGTGTAGGAAGCGGAAGGTCCTCAGTTCCTGATATTCAGGAAAGTCACGGGCCTGCATCAAAGGGTCCTTGATCCTGTCTGGGAGTTCCTCTATTTCCATCGGTCTGGGCTCCGTCGACGCGCTCGCCATGGTCTCGTCCAGTCCGGTCCACGTCCCGTCGCGCCCCCCCACTCGAGCCCAGTCGTCCACTCAAAACACAGAGTGACCTCTCCCTCTCATTCACCGACGATCGCGACCGCTCGAGTACGGGTTCTCCCAAACCGTTCTCCAATGAACTCAACCTCACCCCCGTTTCCCCCCATCCAGACATCCCTCCCGTCAAAACACGCGTATCTGCCCCCCCCCCACCCTCTCGCTCCTTAAGCAAGAAGGAGCAGCACCCTTTGTCCCTAGTCCCTTTCGGGCTCACGAGGGGGATGCTGCTTTCTTGGGGCACTCCGCGTTGGGATGTCCAGGTGAGAAACACTGCATGCATTTACGCACGCGCCTAATCCTTCCTTTGCACTCTGATCCTGGGGGGAGTCCCGCGCATGGTCCAACCCCCTTCGCCCAGCTATAGCAAATCTCTTGACCTGCTTGATCTTTCCCTTTGCCCTTGCCTTTGCCCTTGTTGAAGTCGCCCTTGGCCGCCCACCTCTTCCTTTTCGCCGTCCTCTTGTCCCTGTTGGCCTGTCGTCGTCTGTCAATCCTGTCGTCGTCATCGTCTTTTCCTGCAGGAGGTCCCGGAAGGTGTGCCATTGCAATCGCCTCGGACGGTGGCTTTGGTGAGCCATGTGCCCCGCTAGCCAGCCAAGCAGCAGCTGGGCGACGCACCTGCTCATTCCAAAACCTCTCATCCAACGCTAGCGCTCTAAAGCACGCTGTCCAAGGATCGGCCTCCGTGAACTCTCTGGGTGGGCTTCCGCCAGCTGCAATGTCCAGCGTTATCGATCTTCTGATCTTCTCCAACTTCTCGGCCCTGCCCTTGTCATCTGCCTGCACAATTAGGCCCCAAGCTCTCAGCCACTGCAACACCAGCTTCTCAATGACCTTCTCGTACAAAAGGAGGGCCGCCAGTGTCACCAGGTTCAACGAAATGCACGCCGCCTTGAAGACCCTCCAGCTCACCAACCACTGTTGTAAGTTTTGAGGTCCCGGCAACTCCTTCATCACAAAGGATCCGTCTCCCACCGGCATGAAGGCTCTAAACTTCTGGTTCTTCAGCACCCTCCTACCGAAAGGAAGCCATACTGAAAAGTCCACATACGGTGGTTGGTTCTGAACGTTCACTCGATGATGAAGGGCAGCAAGTTGAGCATCTGTAGGTTCCTCTTCTTCTTGAGGGGGAGCACCCATGACGGAGATGTACCTCTGTGCCCATTCGTTCAACATGACTGCATCAGGCAATTTCGTCTCCGAATCATCCGTCTGGTCGACGATGTTGGACATCTTCAAGACGTTGTCTTTTCCACCACCTGAGGCACTACTGGCCCCTCCACCTCCGCTCAAACCCCCTGTGCCCCCACCTGTTCCATCAGGAGGTCCCGCACCAGCATCTGGGGTCCAGGGGTCCTTGTCCACGAAGGCCTCAGCATTTCCTCCGCCCTGCAAGGAACCACCCACCGGGCATTGCGCCAAGCCAGCCCCACTTGAGCCGCTTGTATCGGAGTGAGGCGTTCTCCTGAAGCCATGGAGGAAGCACTGACTATTTGAGGTATAGCCCAGGCCGGCATAGCGGCCACCAAGCGAAGGTCGTTTCCAGGGTCTCCAGCAGTCAGGACAAAGGCGTCCCAGAGGGGGTCGGGGACACGCAGCTTCACCAACAAGTCAGGTACTACATGTACTTCCTGAGCTTCCGCTATCGGGAGCAGCACCATGAAACCCAAGCGGCTCGCGCCCCTCAAACAAAAGTACACCAAAGGAGAGGGGGGGGGTCCCCCCCCTCTCTGAGGCTCGAGCCTCAAGACTACAGGAGTGGGTGTTTTCATCCCACCCTCCCTCCTATGAACTTGTCACTTCATGTCCTTCAGCACCTGTGGTGCTTCTACAACAAACTTGAAATATGAGCCTGCTGAACTTATTTAGTCATTTGCTTCACGAAAGCGAGTGTCCTCACTGATGATGAACCCAAAGCCCTTGGCGCCGTTAAAGCTCTTCACCCTCAGGGCGCTACCGGCTACCCTACGGCCTCACAAGTAGAACAACGAGGACCATGCTTTTCACATGTTCAGGCAGTTCGGCCTTGCTAGCATAATTGACCAAGGATGCATGAATTTCAGTAGTCTAATCCTTTAAACTCTGGAGCCTCACTTTCAACAGGTCTTCCCGAGCCTCACATCTCACCTAGTTTCCAGCTGTCATGTGGAAGAAATTCCGAATTGTCAAACTTCATGGGGCACGACACCCGGGGACACCGCGAAACACCGACTGTACAATACCCGCTTTGCGCAGACCGAAGGCCGAGGAACACTCCGCGGAAGCGGCCCAGTTCCGCTGTGACATCCTGGCGCAGCGAGCCGCGCAGCGAGCACATCACAAATGCGCTATTATGTGTATATGTATATATATATATATGTACATATGTTACTATATTATATTGTATTGTATTATATCATATCAGATTAGATTTTATTGTATTATGTTATATCATATCATATTGCATGATATCATAGTATACTATATTTTCGTATATCATTGTCTTATATATATATATGTCATTATATATCTGCTTCTGCTTCTTTTTTGCGCCTCTCTTATAGCTGTAGACGTGTTGTAGATACGTGTTGCGGCCTGAGTCGCTGTCAAAAGGAGCAAGCAGGTGTGGTTGCAAGTCCAAACCTTTTGCCTTCTGTACTATCCCAGTCAGTATCAAATATCATAGTAGGCCCCGAAACAATCCCGTCAAGCAGCAAACTATCAATCTTTCACGTCAGCCTATGATGCGTCCAACATTGTATCCAAGAACGGAACGCCCAAGAAACAAAGTGGAACCGTCTGCATGACTACCTGTGTGGGGATGCTCACCGATGGTTTTGGATGGCCAGTGTTGAATCGAACAGCCTCCCACTTGCGCTTGGCCGCCGCAGGCGCCGTCTTGGGCGGAATTTCCGTGTGCCCGAAGCCTCGCACCAGAAATGCTCAAAACGGAAGAAGTACCAAGCCAAGGAGCAAGGACGCTACTAGGGGCTCCTGGCCTTACTACTAGGACTAGGAGCAAGTACACCAGGTTTGATAAGCCAAGGCCGTCCCTGTCCACAAAGAAGCTTTACGCCTAGAAGAAGGGTGCTCCTTGCAAGAAGGAGGAGTAACGTTTGTGATATACTGCATGTGCGGCAAACCAAAGGCTCTTAGTGTAAGGAAATCTTGCGAAGACTGTTTGACTCATGAACTCATCTCAGTGTGTGCGCAAACACCTGGTGAGTGAAAGACCTGACTTGCTTGCATGAAGCAATGTCATTCAGACTATCACAGGTACCGGCATAAGGTCCACAACGCTATGCTGGCTTCTACAAGCTGTGAGCCAAAAAATAAAAAATTCACTCAGGCCCGGCCCTGGCTGTTCATGTTCGCGCTAACCTCCATCAAAAGGCTCGACACACCACAAGGCCTGTGAAGGGATCTTGGAAGCCTCCCAGCCCGGTGAAGGCACCAGGGAAGGTTGCCATTTGGCTCATTTGACCTAGCACAGGAAAAGGCATTGACCAACACCAACAATAGCGATTGATGAACACACATACTGAGTGAGATAAACATATGAAGTATGTCTGAAGTCTGCAGTTATTCAAATAATACAGTATCCATCTTGGTACCGACAGCTTCAATAGAAGCGTCAACCAATGCGCGTGGAAGGGAAGGCTGTCAACCGTTTTGTCAGGGATAAACTTCCACTATGGAAGGCCTCAAATGCAAGAACTTGTGGGTGGAAGACTCTGAGATACCTTCAGGATGCCGAATCCAGGGCAAGATCTAGCGTCCTTGCTCCTAGTAGCGATGCCCTTTGTTACTAGTAGCGTCCTTGTTACTTGTTACTAGTAGTAAGGCCAGGCCACTAGTAGCGTCCTTGCTCCTAGTAGCGATAGGATGCCGAATCGGCAAGATCAACTTTCACTACCAACTGGAAACAGGTCCAGGCTGCTCATGTCGACCATGCTCTCACCTCGGGTGCGTCGTCGTTCAGTACTGACCAACAAATGTTACAGTGGCAAGGCTGACCAGGAGCCTCTTGAATGGACAAATCATGCAAAAGCAAAGGACCTGAACATCACGAAAGGCCAACCAAGGCGCAAATGAAGGAACTAGACAGGGTGTTACCGGTTCATGCAATAATTGCACACATGAACAACCCATGCAAGGAAGCACCGCAGAACGCCAAGGGAGCGAGAAAAATGCACAAACACAGACAAAGAGACTTCTTGCCACATGTTTGTTAAACACAACTGAACCCTCCGCTGTAAACAAACAAGTGAATGCCGGGTTCATCTGCCCCCGTGTCCAGGACAGTGATGATTCAATGCCGCCAAGTCACTAACATTGTGGATGGTGCTCTCTGCCAACCTCAGCTAGTTCTTTGAAGCCTACCACCTGCAAAACTTATATAGATACAAATGCACCACTGTGCCTGCTGGAGGAACTGATGACAAACATCCAACCAAAGAGTTTCTTCCTTTCCTTCAAACTGCCAGTGTCTGGCTCGAATTTGAGATCAACTATAGTCCACCATCCACCTCCCCAAGCTATGCAAATCTATTCTGTGTCTCCAACAATCCATCCATGGGCTGCACATCATACCTCAGGGTCCATGTTCTCGAGGGCTGCTTGTATGGGAGGCCTGTACTGTACTTTGTTCAATGTTGTGTCCTTCTCAATTCCTTCAGGAACCTTCAAGCACCAGCAGAAGTTTTGACGGACAGAATTGTATCAGAGCGCTCTCCTCGTTGACTGGATGGGAGCATTGCTGAAAGTCAAACCCAGGTGCTTCCTTGTCTCCCAGCAGCTCAAAATTCAGAGGCAGAAACACGTATTACTTGTTATGCGAAGCGCGTGATTGCTTTTCGCTCGAGCCTAAAAGGTCAAATGGTACATTTCTTGATTTGTGCTCAGGTGTATGGATGGGTGCACATGCTCATGCCTCACTAGAACCATTCATACACCTGAGGCAGTAGGCGTATTGCCTTGCCTTTGCACAAAAGGGGCCGAGCGGACGCTCCCCGAGTTGCACACTCGATGTTGGCTCGCTCTCTGCATGAGTCGTAGCCCGTGTGCCTCAGAAGTCCTCAACTCTTGGAGGAACTGATTTCTCTCTTCACGAACTTGCTTCAGCTCTTCCTGAAGTTCTTCTATATACAGATCCAGCTCGAACAGCTTGTTCTGCATCTCTATGGACTCCATTCGTAGGCCTGGAGGGCCTTCATGTCGATCCAACAATCAGCTTGTGTCTCCACGCTGATCTTCTCTACCTTCTCATAGGTGTTATTCTCCTGGGTCTTGGTCACCATGGCCTCCGCCACATAGTTCCAGACCATGCCCAGGAAGATGTCCTTGACATAGCGCCATAGCCACTCCATAGTGGTCAAGGCTCCGAGTGCTGCACAGACCACGAAAATGATCCATGGTCTGTGACTTCTCTCCTCCAACATGTCCTTCTCCCACAGGCTCTCCCGCAGCCTGATATAGGTTTGACAGCAGCACGATCGTGCCCACATGGAGGTTCTGTCCTTCAGGATCTTCTTTGTTGCCCTCTTCATCCTCTCTTCATGTTCCAGCTCCTTGAATTCATCCTCTCCAACTCTATCATGCGCCGCGTTCACAACCTTCAGCATGTAGAGTAGCCCAAAGAGTCTCTTGCGGGTCAAGTTCTTTGCGCCGATGTCTGCACAGTTCAGCTCTGTTGGGATGGCTCCTGTGGCGAGCACCTTCTCCTTCTCCTTTTGCTGGGCCCACAAGAGGGATGCATCCAAATGGCGCACTCTCCCAATTCCTTGTCTTTGCACCATTGCCCTCACGGCTGAGCTATCTGAGCGGACCTTCATCTGGCATCCTTCTCCAGTCATCTGCATCCATAGATGCCTGATCAAAAGGCCGTCTGAACATCCAGCTACCACCGCCACGAACTTTGACTCGCCGGATGATAACGCCAGTGACTTTTGGGTTCTCACCCTCAACTCCATCAAGTTGCCATCGGTGAAGATCTGGAAGCTTGTAGCGCTCTTCCTGTCATTGCGGTTTCCAGCATAATCCGCATCTGTGATCACTTCGATCAAATGCTCCTCTTTCTCTTCAGCCTCATCTCCTTCTCTCGCGTCCACCACGGATTGTCCTTTCTGCCTGCTGCCGATGCGCACCCCAAATCCCATGGTCCCTTGCATGTAGGAACACACGTGGAACGCACACTTCCATGCCTGGGTCTGGATGCAGGTCGTTCTCCTGCTAAGTACATCAGGCGTCCAACCACGCTCCTGAACTTTGCGATGTCCTCACCTTCCAACTGCGGGGGCTCGCCTCTCTTTGCAAAGCTCTGGTCCATTGGGGTCTTCCTGTAGGCCTTGCAGTAGACATTCGTGCCCTCTGCCAGGCTCCCATACTGTTTGTAGTCATATCGAATGTCGCACCAGTCTCTGCAAAGCCGGAACTCTCTCTTCAGGTAATGGAACTTGTCGCCAATCCTGAAAGGACCTTTCTCCTCAATGTTCCAGCCCTTCGACTGCAGGTGCTTCACATAGTCCCGCAGGGTTTGCTCCTTTCCAACCATGAAGACATCGTCTACGTGGACCGATGTATATCTCCTTCACCTTCATCAATAGGGTCGGCTGCGTCAGGTCCTGGGCCACGCCATGTTACTTTGCTGTGGATGCAAAGAGTTGGAACCATTGGGACGCTGCTGTCCTCCGACCAGGGAGGCATCTCACCAATTGGTAGACCTCCACAAAAGCCTTTATCTTCTGGCTGGCTCGCCATGAGGAAGGCATCTTTTACGCCCAAGGTCATGGCCACGAAGTCCTTCAAGATGTTTAGCATCATGTGGATCAACATCTTCGGCAGGACCATGATCGATGTAGGGGCGAACGTTTGCTCGATGTCCACACTTGTCTTGAACTCCCAGCCCACTAGGTGGGCTCTCCTAAACCATCCTCCTTTCTCCACACGATGCTTCCAAGTCTGGACGAACTTTGTCGAGATGATGTATCCACTGCACTCTTCTACCTCCTCACGCGTCGATTCCACCATGGCAGGGATGCCTAGCATTCTTTCCACCTCGCTCTTTCGGGCCTCGCTGTCCAGCAACTGAAGGTGTTCCTCCGACATGATTGGGGGATCCTCATCCTCCTCTCCTCCATACCCAGCAAAAAGCTCTTCATTGATCTCCACCAGGATGAGATCTGTTCCAAGCTCCTCGTCTCCAAGCGCTTCAATTGCTTGGATGCTGGCGTAGTGGGGAGGATATAGCCGTGACGTCTTGTTTGGCAACGCACTAGCCATTGCCTCACTGCTCCCCTCCGCTGTTCTCACCACTCCTCTCGGTGTTCCAGCTGATGGGCTCCCCTCTACATCACCTGATTCCTCATTTGTTTTCTGCCTCTTCTCATCACCTGAGTCTGCTGTCTCCTCTGTCGTCCTCTTATCAGAATACCTTGTGGGCTATATGCCCACGGCAATCCCTTCACTATCACCAAGTCACTGGCGATGAATGCATCTTCTGCTGCCAATCGTCGAATTGTCCTGGCCTCAAATGCTCCAGCAGCAGTGAGCACCACGCGATGATCGTTCCAGCTATGTTTGCCAACCCACACACCTCTCTCGAAGATGTCGTTGGCCTTGTACTTGGTGAGCTTCTTGAACATCACTGACTCTCCGAAGAGTGCCATGCATTGACAGGTAACTGATTTGTTGTTTTTCAAGTGAAGTGTCAATCTACAAAGTACTCTGTCCTTTTTACAGATATATATATATATGTATAAGATCTATATACGTAAAAAATATAAATAGATAATCTTCGTAGATACATTTATGTTTAATTGATGTTTGGAAAAAAAA